ATCTATTGGTCCGTAATTGCCGAAAGAAAATAAAAATCACAAAATTGATGTGCATTGTCATAAGTTACTTAACAAATTATGATAAATGTATCTTTCTGTGAAAACGTGTAAAGTAATCATGAATATGCATGATATATATTTAGCTGTTGGTTTCTATTGGTTTCTATGTTTCTTAATTCTATTGGTCATATTGGTTTATATTGGTCCCATTGGGTTCTATGGGTCTCATTGGTTTTCTATTGGTCCTATTGGTCCTATCGGTCCTTCTACTTCTACTTCTACGACGATACTCAGCAGGATCCATAAGTCAGGATGTAAAGTGCTGAGGAATTAACTATCTAGTTCTTGGTCTAGCTGCTGGGTGGAAGCGCTCCCTTGAAGCCCTCCAGTGAAGTAGCGTCAAGAGTGATCTTTGAAAGTGCATTCCACGCAGTTACTGTCCGAGGGGAAAATGAGTTCTGGTAGAGCTGGGTGCGGGATGGGATAGCCAGCAACTTCTTTGAGTGATACTGTCGTGTGTTGCTGGCAATCATGGGTGCTGTGTAATGGTGTGCATTGATGGCTACTGGTCCTATTGGTTTCTATTGGTCCTATTGGTTTATATTGGTCGTATTCGTTTATATTGGTCGTATTGGTTTATATTGGTCGTATTAGTTTCTATTGGTCCTACTGGTTTCTATTGGTCCTATTGGTTTCTATTTATATTGGTTTCTATTGGTTTCTATTGGTTTCTGATGATTTGAATGGTCTCTATTGGATTCAATTCTATGGGTCCAACAGAAACCATTAGAGACCAAGATAATTTTTATAATGGTCTCTATTGGTCTCTATGGGATTTTCGACCTGGGCTGGGACACCTACATATATGAGAATGAAACCTGGGAATACAGATCTCCGAGGAATAAGGTAGGCCTATATGAACTTGAACTGAGAGACACTAGATTTTTAATCAAGATTCAACATTTTTGAAATAATAGACGCTTTGCTGGATTCATTATTTGCCCATGTTTGAATAGAATAGTTGAATCACCAACCTGACCAAGATCATTTAATGTGAGTAAATCCATGGTTGAAGGACCGGCCTATTTACAATGAGACTCAGTTTATGAAATAGTTGGACCGGCAAAAGAATAAATTGCTTTGGAATTGTATTATTGATGATGTTTTTGCGATGCAGTATATAGTATAACGAATGCCATAGATATTTTGTCTCATTGCAGTATTATTGATAACACACAGGATAGGGTGTGCATTTTGATGTAACCCTACTCCTATGTGTATATCAGGATAAGGCACACTACTATTTGACCTTACTCCTTTATGTAAGGCTGAATATTACTAGTAGTAGTAGTTGTTTTTTGTATGTGACATAGACTTCTAGGCTATATTAGATTTTATTGGCTGTTTACAAAAGTCACACACACACACACACACACAAAAAAACATGGGTGAGATGACAGGTATCAACGATCCCTGCATGAATTGGACATCCAAAGATTTACCTACTGAATTTAGAAATTTTCAATACTAGTGTGAGCTTATATTTTCAGGGCCGCTTAGTAAGAAATCTGACCAAGAGAAATGTACATACATCCTGTTGTGGCTGGGCCAGGAGGGAATACAGATTCACAAATCCTGGGGAAACGACTTCAAGACCCCAGCTGAGGCCTTCGAAGCTTTCATAAAACATTTCGAACCAAAGACCAATTTCCGTCTGGCAGGATTTCAGCTGCAGAAGTTCGCACAGGAACCAGCCGAAACCATAGACGACCTCATGGCCAGATGCAAAATACAAGCACAAAAATGAAAGTTTGCGGAAATTGAACTTGAAGGTCGCCTCATAGACCAGATCGTCATTGGCACCTCAAGCAAGAAGGTACAGCAAACATTGTTGGTCAAGGATGAGAAACTGACGTTAAATACAGCTTTGGACATCGCCAGAACCCAGGAGGCAACTGAGGTGGATATGAGACTCCTTCATGGTCAAGCCGTCAACGTTGATATCACGAAGCAACATATCCAAAGGAAGAAACAGTGCTCATTCTGTGGACTGAAGTGCCCTGCTTATGGCACCAAATGCAAAAACTGTGATAAAAATGAATCACTGGGAGAAGTGCTGCCGACTGAAGAAACAGGAACAAGAATCTAAACAGCAGTGGCACAGGAAACAAGAAGCTGCAAAGACATATCCGTAAAGGTCGCAAGCACAGAGATCAAAGAGACTCCATGAGATGAAAGAAGAGGAAGAAACAGAAGAAATGGATGAAATGCGGTTTGAGACCATATCTGTAGACCAGATCAGAAAGAATGAAGCTTTTGCTGTGATCGGAGTTGAGATCGGAAGAGGACCAGTGACTCTAAAAGCCAAAGTAGACACAGGATCTGAAGGGAACATTCTTCCATTACGCATTTATCAGAAGATGTACCCTGATTGCATAGACCCTAATGGGGAACCTATCACAGGAAAGCTGAGAAAAACACCGATAACGATAACGGGCTATGATGAAAAGAGCGTTATTCCACAAGTAGGCGTACATCCCGCCCCCCACCCCAACTCGGTGTTATTTAGGGTACGCATATGCTTGTTCCTTCTTTTTGAAAGCACCCCCTATCTGAGGACTGCCAACATTTCCGAACCCCCCTTTCGCGGGCTTTTCGCATTTTCGCATTTTGAAAAATGCTCAATGTACCCCCCCCCCCCCCTAAATTCGGAATAATTTCTCAGGAGTCCAAAGAGCTGAGAAAAAAAAAGAAAAAACACCCCTTTTTTAAAGAAATCTCCGAGTGAAAAGTTAAATCACCCCTTTTTTTTTTACAATTCTCGGGCCGGACTTTGTCTCACGAAAAGTACCCCTTTACCGGACATTTTGGTGACATGCATGGAGTCCGTCCGTTCTCCGAGTTGGGGGGGGGGGCAGGGACGGGGCGTACATAGACTGAGCTGTAACCACCAGGACAGACCGGCCATCCTTGGACTTGAGTTGTGCCTGGATCTTGGATTAGTAGTCTTGAATTGCAGCCTGATGGAGAGCCATGATGGTCCCATCAAAGACAGGGAACATTTGAAGACTTTGTATTCCGACAGATTTGATGGGAAATACCACATCGTGATCGACAAAGATGCGGCTCCTGTAATACATGCAGCTCGACGATGCCCAATAGGCATACAGGATGACATCAAGAAAGAACTTGATGAGATGGAGAGTCTTGAAGTGATAGAAATTGTCACTAAGCCAACAGACTGGGTGTCAAGCTTGGCATACACCCAGAAGCCCAATGGAAGATGGAGAATTTGCCTTGACCCAAAAGACTTGAATAAGGCAATCAAGAGAAGCCATATGCCGATGCCAGCCATTGAAGAAGTCCGGCACCAGTTTGAAGGAGCAACAGTGTTCAGTACCCTGGATGCCAGACATGGATATTGGGCTATACAGCTGGATGAAGAAACAAGCCATTTGACGACCATCAATAGTCCTTTTGGTCGTTACTGTTTCAAAAGACTACCCTTTGGCTTGTGCGTTTCTCAGGACTTGTTCCAGCAACGAATGAACCAAATACTAGAGAAATGTCCTGGAGTCATTGGAATGGCCGATGACATATCAGTAGTAGGAAAGACGGCAGTGGAACATGACGCCAACTTACACAATCTGATGCGCGTCGCAAAGGAGCATGGACTCGTTCTGAACTGGAACAAATGCCACATCAAGCAAGACCAAGTGAGATTCTATGGCCTTGTCTTCAGCAAAGATGGAGTACAACCAGACCCACAGAAGACAGCAGCCATATCAGCCCTGAACGCACCACAGAACGTGACAGAACTCCAAGAGTTCCTAGGCATTGTGACCTACATGTCACCATTCATTCCAAGACTTGCCTCACTGACTGCACCACTTCGGGAACTTGTGGAGAAAGATTTGAAATATAGCTGGACTGAATCCCATCAGAAGGTCTTTGAAACCATCAAAGATATGATCTGCAAGGAGACCACACTTGCTTACTTTGATCCAAAGAAACCTGTTGTCCTAGAAGTAGACGCATCGATGGAAGGCGTTGGAGCAGCCCTCACACAGGAAGGGAGACCAATAGTGTTTGCCTCAAAGTCCCTCACCCGAGCAGCGATACGCCAACATCGATAGGGAGATGCTGGCAGTTATATACGCATGTGAAAAATTTCACACGTTCGTCTTCGGCAGAAGTTTCACTATCCTCCCAGATCAGAAACCACTAGAGATGATCACTCTCAAGAACCTTGGAGCTGCACCCCAAGACTACAAATACTACTACTCAGACTCCAAGGGTATGACATGGCAGTGAAATATAAACCTGGAAAGGAGATGCTTCTGTCTGATGCCATGTCAAGACTCAATCCTCTGCCTCCTGAGTCTCCTGAAATGCACATGAAAGTTGACTTTGTAATGTTCTCAGACAAGAAGCTACAGGAGATTCGCACCGCAACATCAGAAGACTGTGAACTTTGCATCCTGAGAGATGTAATCCTAGAGGGATGGCCAGAAGAAAGGCGGAAACTTGACAAAAGCCTGATCAAGTATTGGCCATACAGGGACGAGATGTCCATTGAAGACGGGATTATCCTGAAAGGTTCAAGAATTGTCATCCCCAAATGCCTAACAAATGAATACCTAAACAAGCTACATGAGGGACATCAAGGCATCATCAAATGCCAACTGAGAGCAAAGAGCTGTATCTTCTGGAATGGCATAAATCAGGAGATCGAGATGATGGTACAGAAATGTTCTGTATGTGAAGATTATGGGAACTCCCTGCCATCAGAGACTCTGCAACCACATGAAATTCCTATCAGACCTTGGCAATTTGTCACAACGGACCTCTTCACACTTGATGGAAGAAAATACCTTCTTGTTGCTGACGTATACTCAAAGTATCCAATTGTAAAGCAGTTACTACAGCAAGCAACAAGTAGTGCTGTCATCTGACTGCTTAAGGAAATCTTCCCTGAACAAGGAACCCCCGAGAGACTAATGAGCGACAATGGACCTCAATACAATAGTGCCATATTCGTAGAGTTTGCCAGAGACTGGAATTTCCAACATATAACCTCCAGCCCGAGATATCCACAATCCAATGGATTTATAGAGAGACAAGTACAAACTGTCAAGAACACCATGAAGAAAGCCAAGAGAGATAACATAGGCGTCAACAAGGCATTGCAATGCCTAAGAGCCACTCCATTGGACAGCCATCTACCATCTCCAGCGGAGCTGTTACTGGGGAGAAAGATCCAAACCAACATACTGACCAGAATTCGGAACCAGTCACCCCAAAAAGATGACATCTACCAGAGACTGCAGACCAGGCAGGATGACCAAAAAAAATACTTTGATGACAAGCACACTTCCCCCACTACACAAAGGACAAGAAGTCAGAGTCCAGAATCAAGAGACTGGAAGATGGGACAGAGGAAAAATCACAAACAGGAGACAAGAACGAAGGTCATATGAAGTACAGACGTCATCAGGTCACATTCTACGACAAAATCGTAGGCACGTCAAACCAACCCAGGAGAGGGACAGCATGGAACAAAACCGTCAACATGCATATAGTGATAAACACAATGATGTACACGACCAACAGAATGCACAAACAGAACAAAAAAAGCAAACCAGACACACCATCGAATCACCACCAACCATACACCACCAGATCAGGTCGTACTATTAAGAAACCAGAGAGATACAATATGTAAAACATTGATACGGTTGGAGATAATTCAAATAATTTTTGTCTTTTGCTTTCTTGAACAATGTTTACAATGTTTTGAGTAGTTAGATTTAAAGAGACATATTGAATATGTCATGTTTTGTTTATTATTCAAGTTTATTGCATTATAAAGCAAGATGATAACTGAAGTCTGATCAAAAACATTTTAGATAAATAAGCAAATAATTCGCATTCAAATGAAAAAACAAATGTGATAGAATTTTCAAATTGTTTTTGGTGAAAAAAACAAAAACAAAACAAACAAAGAAAGGGAAGAATTTGTAAGTTCATATTAGCACAAAGATTAATGTTCTTAAGCAAACAATTTTAAAAAGATATTTAAACAGTATGCATCTAAATATGAAATTAAGTTTTCATTGAGAAGAGGGATTGTGATATGATATCAATTTATATCTACATGTATGTTCAACAAAAGACCTATATCATATGCCCATGGTTATTGCTACCAAAGATCGTAATGCGGCTTCACATACATCTAATAAATAGAATAAGTTGTTCTTAGTTGAGTTCTATGAAACCCAGCCTCATGAAGACTCTTATTGTAGATCATAATTAGTGTACAACACTTTACACATATATGTAATAGTTATTTAAGTCTATGTATACACGCATAAAGGTTCAGACACGAAAAATAAAGATTCATTTACCTTAAATAGCCAAACCAAAAGAAAAAAGCAAATACAATAAAGGGAACAGACCAAACGAAAAGTAAAGGCTGAAGTGGGTTGTCTTGAAACAAGATAGATAATTACAGAACAAACACATCATAATAATACATACCACCTGTCATTTCATCATACATGTTAAGAACAGGAATATAGAGAATGGGAGTGTTTGTTTTTGTTTAACAATATTATTAATCTTGATGGAATTTAGTATTGTAAAAAAAATTATATATCATCCTATACTCACTCTCTCCCAAGAGTTTGAAATAGGGTCTTATTGTCGGGGTCATCTCGTAGGAGAAGTTGGTAATCATAAAGCATATATATATATATATATATACAGTGCGTCCTAGAAAAAACGAAACCGAGAAGTATCAATGTTTTATCATAACTTAATCACAACTATAATTAATGAATGATACATATTTGGAAAGCTTAGAGTCTCCTCTTTCATGTGATGCTACTCAGATGATGCATATGTCACGCATGAGTGATTAAAAGCAATTTGAAGGAAGGAAACCAAAAAGTCATTTGGCGGGCGGTATCTGAATTTCGAAGAAAAATTCACATTTCTAGAAAGTTGAGGTTCTATCCTTTCATATGACACCTCAATCAGGAAAAATGAGCAAGGAATGACAAAGTTCTGTTAGTTTGAAGTAATGCTTGCATTTCCATAATTTTATGAAACGAATTCGTTTTCACTGGGTGCCTGCCGTAGCAACAGAGTTGACAAAAGACTTAACTCCATTTCGTAGACAATCAGCCGTAAACGAAAGACTTCATGCATGGCGGGCCCCTGGATGCTCATCTGACCGTAATTAAATACCTAAAACCCTTGAGCTTCTGGGGGCTCTGCCCTCTGAACCCCACCAAGAGCCCTAAGGCGGCCCCTGGATGCTCATCTGACCGTAATTAAATACCTAAAACCCCTGAGCTTCCGGGGGCTCTGCTCCCTGGACTCTCCCCCAATTAGTGACCTGCCAGTTTCACAAATAAGGTATCTAAATATGCTTATCTGACCGTAATTTAATGCCTAAAAATCCTGAGTTTCCGGGGGCTCAGCCTCTTGACCCCCTGCCGAGGCCCAGGCCCTGGACCCCACGCCAATTTACGCTCTACCTGATCGTTCCACTTTGAAAAACGTTTCGCGGGGTCTGCATGTAACGTATAAGAGTGGTGGTGATGCAGATTTTTCTTCTGCCACCCCCCCCCCCCTTCCTGACGTTTTTGCTCATTACGTCACTGGAAGGTGAGCCCCCTGGAATGTTTGCCCCCCCCCCCCCCTCCCATCCCAAACTGCTTCCGGTGCGCCTGAAGTATATCATATTGCACATACATTATCACACCTAAGCCTCTGTTTTAATTTCTTCCACTACTTCAACTGAGTTGCTTGGGCTAGTATGCCTACTCAATATATTTTGCTAGATCTCCGACATCTGTCTTCTGAAGAACAGTCTTCAGTTGGGCCATACTACCGCCAGTCCTTGTTTTCCACTGTGCCAAGCAAGACCTAGTAGCTTTCTGGTAGTCATTGGAAACTCGAACTAGGATCTTGTCAGCTTCGTAGTATTCGATACCAAGATGTGTGCATAGCGATGTGTATTTCTCAGCAGGCATGCGTATCGACAGCCTGTCTAATATTGCATCTGATTGGAGATCAACCCTGAGGAATGAAACGATTAATATGATCTTTGCAACTCGGTGGTGTCACTACATAGTCAAAGATATGTCGCATGATGATGATCATGATATTAATAATTATAATAACATGATGATAAATTTATGGAAATAATAAATAGCAATAATCATCATCATGATAATGATTTTAAAAAATGTTTACTTAGTGTCACCTCATTAGCTGCAATACTGTTAACACTTCCTGAGGGCCCGCTGTTATTATTACCTAACAATTGCCAGGTACCCATTTGCACCTGGGTTGAGAGTGGCAAATATGAATAAATGACTTGTCAAAAGATCTTAGTGTCGGGATAAGAATCAAACCCTCAACCCTTGGATTAAGAGGCAAGTGAATGAAAATGTGTACCTCGAAACCTCCCGATTGTTAGCGGAGACGATCTTAACCGCCTATATACTTTGCACACTTTTAAGAATAGTATCCACAAAATAAGCCTACTTACGTAATAAATTATAACAAGTACAGAAAGGGCCACTAAATGTAACATTATCTTTTAGCCTACTAAGTACGCATCTGCAAAAGGTATCCTGCTTTCGCATAAACGGGTACGTTTAAATTCACTGCTATGTTTTCATCGTGAAAAGGTTACCCTTTTTAGCACTTAATTGCTATTGGAAAATAAAGATAAATAACATACTCTTTTGTTTGTGAACTTCCCCGGAAATTAACCTTTTTCTATATCTCATTAGAAGTATGTAATTTTGGGATCACTTCTGATAATTTTGAAAAGGCCTTTTTCTTTCTGTTTTTTCGGAAAAAATGTATTAAAGCATTCAATATCAGACTAAGGAGGGAGTCTAAAAAAAAAAAAAAAATCTGACCGATCGACCCATGTTTTGGCAGCTAAAGGGCAATACAACATCTTTTTTTTGTAGGCCTAACTTGAGTACCTCCGCCATATGGCGAGAGAAATAACTCTCTATTAGTTAACGTATTAAAAGTTAAAAGAAAACCTTGTTCATAACCTATTTCATTTATCACTTAAGTGGAGCACTTGTCTTGATATTGCAATGTGAAAGAAACTGTGTGGAAGCAATTGGGAAAAGTTGATCATGTGTTATACATGCTTACCAATTAGTGCATACTTTGAGGATTTGAGGAATGATACCAATCTAACGATATTGACGAATTCTTGCTGAATATTACACGCACTTCAGACAAAATGATCCAAAACTTTTTGTTTCATTTCTAGTAATATTTCAAATAAAATGGCATTTGAAGAGCAATCCATTTCAGGCGATATTTCTACTATGATAGTTTTCCAAACTGACGTACAAAGATTGAGAAAGCTCACAAAGTGCTTTTTATTTTCACCAGAACTCAGCCTGCTCTTTCAAATATATTATAGATTGGTTAAATACCCTGATTGCGTTGACACCCTTGCTGCTTGTAAACTGGCATGCCTGGGAAGGGATGCTACTCCTCCTGCTGCTATTGTTTCCACTGTTGATGTTGCTGGCGCTCTTGTTATTATTGTTGCTGTCATACATTTATATAAAAAAGAAAGAAACTGTATATCAATATGTAAATTCATTAACATATAGGTTCATAGTGATAAATGTTTTAGGCTAGTGTTAAAGCAATTGTTGCATATAACTTAAAAGACTATTTGTAATTGTTATTCTTTAATAGATACTTTTTTCTCCTTCTATTATTTCAGACATCGCACTCTTCCCAATGCCTGATCAACAGCTGTATAAATATGTGAATAACTGTATCCTGTTTATAAAATTGGCACTACTCCTTTAAATAAACACTCATGTTAAGATTAATTCTTATTTGTGTAATGATATCAAATAGGAGAGTATTAACTGTAGAAGAAGTAGGAATGTGTCACATGACACATAAATCTTGAGCTTTAAATAAATGTATAATTTTATGATTATGTTTGAAATACCTTGTACCTCACTGAAATTTACTTTTGTATACTGTATATGCCTTATTCATCATAGTCGATATTTTGTCATTCACCACGGGCTTTACGTGAAGGCTAACGCTGAATTTCTCTTGTTATATGCTTATAAAGATTATTTATGCTAAAAAAAGATGTCTGTAAATATTATGTTTTGGTTGTCATAATTAAACATTTATTTTTTAAATACTTTTTTCATCATTATATGGCCAAAATAAAGTATGATTTATACATATCTGTTAATCCTAGGACCCTATTAAAATTAGCCAATTGGGCAGCATTAAAAGGTTAACCCGTCAAAATATATCTTTCCTTTCTTAAACATTTTGATCATCAATAGTTTAAAATTGAGGTGAAATTCATATTTAATAGTCATCCGCAAAATTAAGAATTATGTGGGTAGCTTATGACCCTTGATTACGTTAAACAACTTTTAACCAGGGGCAT